GTTCCTCCCCTGAAGTTTAAAGGGAGCCAACCTCACTTTGCCTGAGCTAGAGAGGATGAAATGTCAACAAAGGACTTCTGTTCCCCAAAGTGCAGTGACTTGATTTCATGTAAATTACTATGGCTACCTTCTTACCAAGTGTGATTTCCCTTAGACTGGGAAGTCATTGTGTTTGGGTGGGTTGTAGATTTGGGGTGGTGTGTGTGTGCATGGGTGTGCATTACACTCAGGTGTGGGGTCAAAGCCAAACCATAACGATTTATCAAGGGAGTGGAAGAGTCTCATACGAATTGGTAATCATGTACTTAAGGGTTACTTGATACTGTTTTAAATGTATGGGTTGGAAATAAAAACAGTAAAAGCTCTCTAAACCAGCCAGTGCAAAACAGTCCAGATGATGTATCAGTAAAAAGCAACTGCAGTTTATTTTAGAGAAATGCTCCTAGTTCTGACTGTGCTAAGTGATCTCTGCTTGGTTTCTGCTCCTTTGTGAATTTCACACTATTTGTAGGGAGGGACTGCTGCTGTGGGATCCTCAGATAGGTTCCTTCTCCTTCAGTGTTAAATCATCCCTCCCTGTTCATTCCATAAGTATTTATCAAGCACCTGGTGTGTGTCCAACACTGTTCTAGGTGCTTGAAATAAAATCACGCATCACGCAGACAAGACATCCCTTTCCTTGTGGTGTTTATGTTCTTATTGGGTGAGAAAGTCCATAGACAGTAGCTGCATAATATGGAGTATGCAGAGAGGCCAGGCCTGTGGGAGAGAAGGAGCAGGGTGGGCCTCTGTAAAGGAGACATTTTGAGCCGTGACTTGACAAGGAGAGCCTGGGCTCTTCAAGGAGAGGAGGGGGCATGGACATGGAAGGTCTGCCATCTGGGGGGTGAGAGTTACCAAGGCTGAGGAGCAGGTGTAGTACAAACACTGTAGCAGCTACTGTTAAACCATACAGACATTTCTGAGAAATTGTGTGAAGCTAAATACAAATTGGACATTTACTGACATTTAGGGATTATTATATGGTAGTTATGTTTTCAAAGATCATTTTCAATTGGGGATGCCAGTTGAAGAAGTGATTGTTAAAATGATAAAGTATCTGGGATTTTGTTTAAAACATAAAAAGACCCCAGGGTGGGAGGGTGCCTGGTATGTTGGAGGCATGACCAGGCAGCGAGCATGGCTGCGGCAGGATGAGCAGGTGGGTACCAGGCAGGCCTCTGGGGCCAGGAGATAATAGGGCTTCACTCTGAGCAAACACCAAACATGGTGTGGGCAGTGGAGGTATGAGAAGCCTTTGGACTTCCGATGTGTTTGATGGCAGAACCAGTAGGATTTTCTGATCGACTGGATAGTGGGGTAGTCTTATCAAGAGGGCAACTCCAGCTTTTAATCTGAGCAGCTGAAGGGCTGGGTTTGCCATGAACTGAGATGGGGAGAGCCATGGTTGAGTGTGAAAGTGGGATTTTACCTTAAAATTTGTTGCACGTTGCATTCTATCCTTTGATGCAGGGTGTGTGTTGTTATAACACATTAAGATGGCCTTCTTCCTTGCAGGGTTAACTGTTCGGGAGATTGTCGTCCAGTGTGTCTTGTGGTCTTGCAGAGTAAGGGCGCCTGGGTGGCTCAGTTGGTTAAGCAACTGCCTTCGGCTCAGGTCATGATCCTGGAGTCCCGGGATGGAGTCCCACATCGGTCTTCCTGCTCAGCAGGGAGTCTGCTTCTCCCTCTGACCCTCTTCCCTCTCGTGCTTTCTATCTCTCATTCTCTCTCTCTCTCTCAAATAAATAAATAAAATCTTTAAAAAAAAAAAGGATATTAGATCTTTGTTGAGAATCAGTTGTCCACAGGTGCATGGGTGTATTCTGTTTATCTATCTTTCCTCTGTCTTTTTCACACTCTTGGTTACTGTAGCTTTTTTTTTTTTAAGAGGGGGAGGGAAGGGCAGAGGGAGAGGGAATCTTAAGCAGTCTCTATGTCTAGTGAGGAGCCCAATGCGGGGCTTGATCTCACAACCCTGAGATCATGACCTGAACCAGAATCAAGGTGCACCTTGGTTACTGTAGCTTTATGGTAGGTCTTGAAATCAGGTAGAGTAAGTCCTTCAAATTTGTTCCTCTTTTTTTAGTTGTTTTCACTATTCTAGGTCCTTAGCATTTCCATGTAAATTTTAGAGTCAGATTGTTTTTTCTACAAAAAAAAACATTCTGGGAATTTTTTATTGGGTCTGCATTCAATCTGTGGATCAATTTGGGGGGGAGAATTGACACCTCCTGACTCATGGACAAGGCATATCTTCATTTAGGTTTTCTTTCATTTGTCTCAGTGATGTCTTATTGTAGTTCTACTTCATAGGTCTAGAACTTTTTTTTTTTTGGTGGGCAGCAAAGCAAAGTTTATTGAGTGATATCAAAGTGATAGCACAAAGCTCCTGAGGAGGGAGAGGACCCAAGAGGGTTGCCCTTAAACATCTTTTTTTTTTTTTTAAAGATTTTATTTATTTATTTGGCAGAGAGAGACTCCGCGAGAGAGGGAACACAAGCAGGGGGAGTGGGAGAGGGAGAAGCAGGCTTCCCGCAGAGCAGGGAGCCCAATGGGCTCGATTGTCCTGGAATCGAGCTTAACAACTGAGCCACCCAGGTGCCCCTGAACATCTTTTTTTTAATTATTATTGTTATGTTAATCACCATACATTACATCATTAGTTGTTTTTTTTTTAAGATTTTATTTAATTGACAGAGAGAGACAGAGAGAGAGGGAACACAAGCGGGGGGAGTGGGAGAGGGAGAAGCAGACTTCCCACCGAGCAGGGAGCCCGATGCGGGGCTCGATCCCAGGACCCTGGGATCATGACCTGAGCCGAAGGCAGTCGCTTAACCAACTGAGCCATCCAGGCGCCCCTCCATCCTTAGTTTTTGATGTAGTGTTCCATGATTCATTGTTTGTGCATAACACCCAGTGCTCCACGCAGAACGTGCCCTCTTTAATACCCATTACCAGGCTAACCCATCCCCCCACCCCCCTCCCCTCTAGAAGCCTCAGTTTGTTTTTCAGAGTCCATCGTCTCTAATGGTTCGTCTACCTGAGCATCTTTTTAAAAATTAAATTTACCCTGGGGCTTCTGGGTGGCTCAGTCGGTTAAGCATCCGACTCTTGATTTTTCCATTCGGGTCATGATATCAGTGTCCTGGGATGGAGCCCCCATGTTGGGCTCCACGCTCAGTGGGGTCTGCTTGAGGATTCTCTCTCGACTTTCCCTCTGCCCCTCCCCGTGTGTGCGCGCACATGCGCGTTCTTCTTCGAAAATAAATAAGGATTAATTTTTTTTAAAGATTTAAGTATTTCATATTTATGCTATTGTAAATGGATTTTTAAAAATCTGTGTGTGAAAATACTGCTGACTTGGGCGCCTGGGTGGCTCAGTTGTTAAGCGTCTGCCTTCGGCTCAGGTCATGATCCCAGAGTCCTGGGATCGAGTCCCACATCGGGCTCTCTGCTCAGTGGGAAGCCTGCTTCTCCCTCTCCCACTCCCCCTGCTTGTGTTCCAGCTCTCGCTGTCTCTGTCTCTGTCAAATAAATAAATAAAATCTTTAAAAAAAAATACTGCTGACTTGTATTGATCTTGTTATTGAAGAGGGTAGGTATTCAGAAAGCCTTTGCTTCTGGGCTTTCCCCTCCATTGCAGAGTGAGGCCATGGCTCAAGAGATATGAAAGAACGAGGGTTAGCGGTGTCCACTGTGTTTTTTGGCCTGAATGGGGCCCAAAAAAAGTGGCAGAAAGTGCCCTCTTCCCCAGGAACTAGCCCAGATGGTGGCTGCAGCTAGCCCTGGGCCTCCCTGAGGAGGATGCCCTGTGCTCCTCAGTGCCCAAAGGTCTTTCCATAGAGTTCACTGATATTTGCTTATTTTGCAAGTTCTCCTGTGGGTGTGTTTCTTGCTATCCATGAACTGTGAATTGCTGTGAACCCAGTTTAAAAAGAAAGGTTTCATATCGGAGCCAAGCTCCTGGTAGTCATGTGGGCACAAAGAATGACAACAGAGGTGATACTGACAATATTCGGCAAGCTACAACTGACAGCACTGCCTAGCAGTCAGGGATTTGGCTTGTTCTCTAGGTTTAGCCTCTGTGGGTGGAGCCCTGCATGTCTGATGTCACAAAGGAGGGGAAGTCCTAGGGCCACACTGTCTCTGTGACCTTGGGAGAATTCTGAACATTCTTGATCCTTAATTTTCCTGTCTGTAAAACAGGCAGCTCCTTTCTCCCTGGGCAGTTTTGTAATCCCTGTGGAAATGATCCCAGAGTAAAACTTTGAGTTGCCCTATGAAGGTAAAGTCTGCCAGGGTCCAGGCACATTGCACCCTGAGCTTCTTGAGGGCAAACCCTACAACTGCCTGGAACAGTGGGTGGTTTCCCTGACATCTGTGTGAGGGAGCATGGACTGGGGAGCAAAGAGGTCATGTCTGTAGAGGGAGACCTGGGTGACTTTGGGCAAATTCCTGAATGTTAGACACATTAGATCCCTTATCTGTAAAATGGGGATGATTGCGTAACCCCAAGATTGTCCTGGGGATTCAAAGAGATAGGGAGGTTTAGCATAGTAACTGGAACACGCTACTGAGTATCTGTTAAATTCTAGATATTACTATTTCTGTTATTAATGTTATTACTGTTATAACCAAAATGTTGAACCATTTCTGTATATTCAGTATGTCAGCATCTGGCTGCTTATTACCACCTCATATCTCTGTCCATATTGCTGAAGTCAGTGTCTGGGATGCTAGGGTTTATTGGTTAGTACTGTATCGGGTCATAGGTTAGAGAGTGATAGAAATTTATTTCCTCAGCCTGCCCCCCTGTGGAATGTAGCAAAGGCAGAGCTGTGGTTGAAATCTAAAATTTTGCTGTGTAATTCCAGGGGTGGGAGATACTGAAAATTGTCCATATATTCCAGAAACTTTCCTTGGAAACTTAGTGTTTCTTTTTCTGTTGTTTACTTTAGGTTGGTCAGCACGTTGACACAAGTTGCCTTTTGACGTAGCTGCTGCCATGGCCAGCTGGTAGGACCAGCATCCCATGCACAGAAGCCAGGTGAGTGTTTGGGGTCTGATATCTGTGGAATGAAAGCTCTTGATTGACCTGCCCGGCGAGCCTCATTCAGCTCCTTGGACATTTGAGACCGAGCATTGCTTAGAAGCTTACAGCCACCTCCTAGAGGAAATGGAGGGAAGCTGTCACCATGGGATCACCCAGGCCCTGCCCGTTGCTTCCAGGGAGGCCATTTGTTCTCACTTTGTGTCTCAGGGTTCACTCACTTGAAAAGCCCAGGCCTAAATGGGATAAACCTTCCTGGGAGTATCAGGAGCAGAGGATAATCCTGGCCAGATGGCCTTTGCCCTCTGGCCATTTTTGTGATTTCCCAACAGTGACCAAAATGAGTAGAATTTTTTTCTGACCCCACTGTTGGTGGCACAGGGCCTGGCACTGGTGCTTGGAGCTGGTTGCCCTGACCCCCGACTCAAGCCTGTGAGGAAACTGAGCCAACCTCACCCCCTGCTTAGGGTTCTCAAGTGGATTCTCAAGGGCTGTCAGAACCCAGCAGGACAGATCTTGACACCTCGGTGGGGTTTTTGTGTTGTAACCAGCAGGGTCTGGCCAGCCATGTTTTGGCCCAGGACTGTCTATCTGGAGAAGAATGTAGAGCTAAGAGTTAGAACTTGAAGGCAGGTTGGAGACCTCTTGGGTTGGTCAGCTGCTCCTGGGTTGGTCAGCTGCTCCTCTTCCAGGCCAGCCAACAGGTGACTCCTGAGGAGTGCGTGCCCCTTTAACAGTGCCATAGCCACATGGGATGAGAACCAGCCGCCTGGATTTGCCCGCTTCTTGACAAGAGTTGGGATTGGTTTTGTGAGGTTTTGGCTCTTATTTGCATATAGCAAAAAAAAAAAAGCAAAACACATGAACATGGTCAAGTAATCCTGTTAGTGGGAAAACATTTCCAGAATGTTCTTCTAACAAATAAGCTTTACCAGTGCTTTAAAAAAATGTTTTTTAAAGATTTTATTTATTTGAGAGAGTGAGTGCAACCATGAGTTGGGGGGAGGGACAGAGGGAGAAGCAGATTCCCCGCTGAGTGGGAGCCTGGCTTTAAAAATTTTTTTCAACAATCAAGATATAATTTGTCTATCATACAGAATTTGTCTACCATACATTTCACCCATTTATAGTATATGATTCAGTGATTTTTTTTCGTTCGTTCGTTCTTTTTTTTGGTATATTTAAGAGTCGTGCAAGCATCACCTCTGTCTAGTTCCAGAGCACTTATCACCCCAAAAAGAAACTCCATCCTCTGGCACACCTGGGTGGCTCAGTCATCAAGCGTCTGCCTTTAGCTAAGGTCATGATCCCGGGATCTTGGGATCGAGCCCCGCATTGGGCTCCCTGCTCAGCGGGAAGCCTGCTTCTCCCTCTCCCACTCCCCCTGCTTGTGTTCCCTCTCTCGCTGTCTCTCTCTCTGTCAAATAAATAAATAAAATCTTAAAGAAAAAAAAGAAACTCCATCCTTATTAGCTGTCACTCCTTAACCCCCTTCTCCCGCTAATCTGCTTTCTGTCTCTATGCATTTGCCTGTCCTGGGCATTACATATCAACAGAGTCATACAATATATAACCTTGTGTGTCTGGCTTCTCTCAGCATAGTTTTTGAGGTTCATCCACATTGTAGCATGATTCAGTAATTCATACACTTTTATGGCTGAGTAATAATTCCATTGCATGGATGGACCGCTTATTTATCCGGGATAAATTTGGGTGTTTCCACCTTTTGACAATTGTGAATAGTGCTGCTATGAACATCTGTGTACACAATATGTGTGGATGCGTTTTTGGTTCCTTTGGGTATATACCCTAGGAGTGGAATTGCTGGGTCATGTGGTAAGGAACATTTTGAGGACCTGCCAGACTGTTGTTCTGGCAGCTGTACTATTTTACATAGCCCAGCCCTGCCTGAGTCCCCCAGAGGAGAAAGAAGTGACCTAAAGTCTGTGCTGGTTTCCTAGAGCTAGATGAGGTTTGGATCATCAGTGTTGATGATGCTTGATACCTGGTCCTGGTGGCTTGTTATCTGGTGCTGGTGGCATAGTGGGACATCCACAGGGGGTGGGCCTGGCACTTGGCTGTTGACAGGCTATCTTTAGACGTTAGCATTTAAAAATCAAGGAACTTTACATCTGAAAAAGGTCTTACTTGAACCCCGGCCCAGTGGGGTTAGTGACTGCCCTTGTCTTGCTGCTTAGGTCATTGTCTGAAGGCAGTGGGCTGGCTTAGGGTTCTCTGAGGTTCTGGGATAGGTGCTCCCCCCTCTGCCTGGTTCTTTGTTAACTCCGAAGTAGTAAGTACTTGCTGAATGAATGAATGAAACAAACAAACAAACCTCCTTCTTCCCTGTCACAGGGCAAGCAGGGAAGACACAGCCATAGCATTAGAAGCAGAGAGTCTGGGGGTTTAAAGTCCTGGAAGTCATCCTAAGTGTTCTTTCTGGCCTTGCCTCCCCCACCCAGTATATGAAGGGGCTTGATAGGAAAGGGACAGTCTGTGAACAGTTATGACATGTAATGCTTAATGCTACACAGGCAGAAACACCCTTGAATAATTATTTTTTAGGATTTATAAATATGTCAGCTTGTACTTTTTGTTGTGGGGTATAAGTCACCTCAGCAAATTGATTGATTTGGGGTTTTCTCTGGTTAATACCAGCCCACACCCACTTTTCGTTGTACCATGGCCTGTGGTCAGCTAGGGTCTCCCCATTCCTGCCACCCAGGACTCAGTGGGCACAGAAGAGGAGCAGGGCAGGAGGAAGGCTGGCTCCAGGCGAGTCCTGAGTCACACACACATAGCCCCCACACAGTGCCACACCCTGTACACAGTTGAGGTGTGCACACCTTGGGTCAGACTGCCTGCTTGGGCTAATGGATGTGGCATCTGCCCCTTGAATTTTGCTTGTCAGAAGCCCTGTTTGTTCAAGTACACACTGCTCATGTGCTGAATGACTAGCCTTATGTTGGATGTTAAGGATTAAAAATGGGTGTGACTTGGGGCACCTGGGTGGCTCAGTCATTGAGCGTCTGCCTTCGGCTCAGGTCCTGGGATCGAGTTCTGCATCAGACTCCCTGCTTGGCTGGAAGCCTGCTTCTCCCTCTCCATCTCCTGCTTGTGTTCCCTCTCTCACTGTCTCTCTATCAAATAAATAAATAAAAACCTTAAAAAAAATAAAAGTGGGTGTGACTTTCAGAAAAACAGTTCACAGAGAAAGTGAATGCAGATGGCCCTAACCAAGGTATGGAAGATGTTCAGGTCTTTCTGATACTAAGAATGTTCATTGGAGCTTCCCCAAAACAACATTTCTGACCTTTTGTCCCCAGAGGTGGATACCAATCTGTTGGTGGAAATCAGGCACTGCCATATGTTGCTTTTGGAGGTTCACAACTCCTCAGAGAAAGATTGGCTTACCCTTTGCTCCAGAAATTCCACTTCTAGAAATGTATCACAAAGATACACTGTCAGAAATAAGAATTGTGACAAGGATGTTCATTATGCAATTCTGAAGTAGCAAAGCTGGAAATGACTTAGATGTTTGTCATTTGGGGCTGGAGATGGATGGGGGTGGATCTCCTGGTGGGGTGGCGTCAAGCCCCTGAAGGAAGGAAGGAGGCATGTCCTCATGTCTTGGTGACGGGATTTCTAGGGTGAAATAAGAAGTGGAAAAAACAAGGTGGAGGATAAAGAGATGTAGTACACTTACCTATCCAAGGGAAGGTGGGGGGGACATGGATGTATGTGTGTGTGTTTGCTTATACTTTATTTTTAAATACAGGAAATCTAAACCATAAATGAACAACATGGTCATTTCTGGGAGGAGGGCTGGGAGGAGACAGGGTTATCAGGAGCTGTCTCTGGCTTTCTTTTCTATGTAGCACCAGATGGGTGTTTTACATAATTATAAACAAAAGTATGGCAGATGTTGTGAGGAGGGGGGAGAGAAGCAACCCCTAAAAACCAAAAGCAAAAGGAAATGAATATGAATCTAGGTATATGTCAGTTGTGACTCAAGTTGGTGACTTAACGTCTCAGAATTTCCTTCACTAGACTTTTAAACATAGTAGTTAGACTGTAAATGTTTTAGTGCGATATGTCATAAGGGCAAAAACTTCTTTTCAAAAAACTATTTTTAGGAATTATTTTTGGTTTTAGGTTAATAATACCAATAGTCTTACTGTTATATACAGTAGTGCCCCCTTCCCTACAAAGATGCTTGCCAGGGCCATCGTGGGATGCCTGAAAATGCAGATAGTATCAAACCCTATATATACTATGATTTTTCCACTTACAAAGTTTAATTTAAAAGTTAGGGATGGTAAGAAATTAACAACAACAACTAATAACAATAGAATTGTTATAGCTATGCTAAAAAGTTGTGTGAATGTGGTCTCTCTTTCTCAAAATATCTTACTACTGTACTCACCCTTCTTGTGATGATGTGAGATGATAAAATACCTATGTGATGAGATGAAGTGAGGTGAATGACGTAGGCATTGCAACATAGCGTTAGGCTACTTTTGACTTATGTTGGTACTCCAGAGGATTGTCCGCTCCTGGACCGTGATTGACTGCAGATAACTGAAACTGTGCATAAGTGGGGACAACTATATTGTAGAAGAAAACAAGTAGTTAATGTCTTTAAGAGTCAGAATTTTCAGCAACAAAGAAAAATACAAGTATAAAATCAAAGCACTTGAAACATTTTAATTTTTTTTAAGATTTTTTTTTTTGACAGAGAAAGACAACGAGAGAGAGAACACAAGCAGGGGGAGTGGGAGAGGGAGAAGCAGGCTGAGCAGGGAGCCCAATGCGGGGCTTGATCCCAGAACCCTGAGATCATGACCTGAGCTGAAGGCAGACGCTTAACGATTGAGCCACCCAGGCGCCCCAAAACGTTTTAATTCTAAATCTGCATTGGGAATGTCCTGATTGTGTAAGACTATCAAGGCTGGGACAGATGAGTATGAAAAAGAATGGATTCCCAAGTTGGAGCA